CTCATGCATCCAACACATGTTTATGGAGCACCTACAATGTGTTAGGGCCCTGGTGCTTCCCTCACTCATTCAACACAAATTCATTGAGCACCTACTGTGTACTAAGACATTGTTCTATAGACACTGGCAGCAGCAAATATGATGCATAAAAATCCTGCCCTCATGGAGTTCTGATCTCCACAGCATTGCAAGGCCAATCTGGTTTCCCTCATTTTTCAGCTAAGGAAGCTGAGGGTTAGAGAAGTTAGGCAGTGGTCCCCAGGTCACGTGGCTAGTGAGTGGTAGACTTGGTTGCCAGCTGTGTGTGCTTGCAGAGGTTACTCAGCCTCTCTGTACCTGGAGATCACAATCCCTATCTCTCAGGGTTGCTATGAGGGCAGGAACCATCCATTTGCTCTCTCCTATATTCCTGGTATCCATCACAGCAACTGGCGCAAGTAGGTATCTAGTCAGGGGTAGCCGTTGTGACCAATGACTATTTCATCCACTAAGTTATAGAACCAGCCCAGCATCTTTGTGGCTGGATGCTCAAGGACTATCCTCTGGCTTTTTCCTGTAGCAGGTATACCAGAAGGATATTCCTTTTTGGACAAACTGCAGGGCAGGCAGCAGAAGTCTCCAAGGCTTTTCTGGAGTCTCTCCTTGAAGAGTAACAGTACCCCTGCCTATCCTGTCTCTCAGTGACTCTGACAGCCTTCTATACATCATCCCTCTCCCTGGCCCAGGCTCTGGGAAGCAGACACAGTAACATCCTGATTATCCGACATCCCTCCATCATGATGATGATGGGGAGTTCCATCTGAGCCACGCTGAGCTGGTCCTGTGAAGACAGCTACAAAGAAAAAAAAAAGACTCTTACTGGTCCCCAGATGAAGTCAGATAGGATGTGTCTGAAGTGTCCAGCGCTGGGACAGGAGCGGGGATGATCATCCAGCCTCACTCAGCAGAACTTGGGATCCTTATCCCAAAGCCTACAAAAGGACATCTGAATTCAGGTTAAATTCTTCAGTCTCTATACAGAAAGGAGTGGATGCAAGGAACTTTATACCTTGAGAGGTGGTGCAGACAGGAAATGGAAAAAGCACTTGCAGAGATGTAGGCGGATTTCTGCATGGGAAAGCCAGGAAGAAGCACTTGGCCGTGGGCAGCTTCTTTCTTTCCTTCCTTCTTGCCCTCTCTTCCCCCTCTCTCCTCACTTGACCCCCACTTCTTCTTCTCTCCAGCCCCCACCACCAGGAGTCTACACTGCATGGCTTGTATTCCTGTTTTAAGCTCACCAGCTGAGGTTTCAAAGGCACCAGACCATTCCAGAAAGGTGGGACTCAGCTCACTCCAATCTCAAGACATCAGACCCCGTGATAGCCAAGCTGGGCCTGAGTGGCTGTGCTGGAACATCTTGGCTTCCATGCTTTGTAGAAGGCATTGCCCCTCAAGGGCCCCAGGGAGGGCGAGTGAATCTTCCCCTGTGCCAGCATAGCTGGGAACCTTCCTGGCTTGGGCATAGCAAACCTATGGCCTCTGTACCTGATCACCAGCACTCAGACTGTGACCTCTAGATCCCCATTTCCGGGCAGCCGGTTACTTCACCATGGACCCCAGCCTATCTTGCCTTTTTGTCAAAGCCGAAGATGGAAGATCCTTCGTTGCCAGCCAGAAAGGCCTCTGCAATGTTCTTTTCTCTCCTTCTTGCCTTTGCCTAAGTCTCCTTCCTTCTTCTCCATCACCACCGCCCTTCTGGGTCTCCTTCCTCTTTCTCTCCATCTCATTTCAACTTCTTTCCTGTTTAAACTGCCTCCTCTTCTTTCACACTCTGATCCTCCTCTTCTTCCTACATTTCTTTGCCCTCCCTTCACTTTTCTTATCCTGACTACTTCTTTCTCATCTACCTTGATTGAATTCGACAGCATTTGCTGAGCATCTACTACATGCTGGGCTCGGTGCCAACTCCGGAGGTGCAGAAATGAGAGTCAGCAAGACACTGTCAGTTCAGACTTGTGGTCTGTGATTCTCCTTCCACCTACTTTTATGCCTTTTTTCCCCGCTATGTTTTTGGCTCCCCCTCTTGCCTCCTCCTCCTCTTCTTCCTCCTCTTGGGACTTCTTCACCCTCCATTTTCATGCCCTGCCCTGGCATCTGCAGCCAACAGTGGCAGTGGAAGCTAGGGTGAGCAGGATGGCAGAGTCCCGGGAGATTCGGTGACAGGAGCCCTCAATGTTGCCCTCCTCACGAGGCAGGCAATGGCTGAGACAGAGCATCCAAGAGACTCATTCATCACACCCGCCTCCTTTCAGGGCCAGGACAGGATGGAAATGACTTTTGTCAGTTCTGCGGCAGCCCACTGCCCCTGGCAGCTCCAAGCTGTTTATTAATAAAAAGTAGGGAATAAAAAAAAAATACAGGCGTGTGAATGCCGTCCTGCCGTGTATTCGGGGAGTGATTCCAAAGCAATGAAGTTGACAAATATGCCTTCGGGGAATCACAAAGGAGCCCTCTATCTCCTCTTCCAGCCCATGTCCAGCTGTGATGGGAACGGGCAAGAAATAGGAAAGGAGGGAGCTGCTCTGGGCAAACGTGTGGCCTTTGTTTTAGCACATGGGAACCAACCTTTCTTCTTGTGGTGAGCTGAAGGTCACCTGCCCGTTCATTCTCCTGTGCATCTCTCTTTGAACTTCAATTGAGGCTCTGATTGAGTCCAGTGTGGGGTTGGGTTCTGGAGATCCAGAAGTTAAATAGTAGTAATAATGATTGCCTTGAATTATTAATGATTAATAGCCATTTATTATTGGTTATAAATTATTCATCATAACCACTAACCATTATTTGGGTGATTAGGTGCCAGAGACAGTATCAAGGGCGTTTCTTTCACTGTCCCGGCTGCCCCAGGAGGAAGGCACCATGACTAGGGTTTGGGGAGTGAAAGGAGTACTCCAGGTAGAACCGCTCATGCAAGACCCAGAAGCAGGGAGGGCTTGGCCTGTCCCAGGAGACCAGCGTCCTGGAGCAGGGTGAGCAAGAGGGCGGGAATATCAAGCCTGATCACACAGGAGAAGGACTGAGGGTGATGGTCAGAGAGAGAGAGGAGGTAGCTCCTCCACGTTGCCACCTTGACACCCAGATCTTACCATCACCACACCGCTACTGCAATCCTCTTCCACCCATCTGACATGGGGAATAAGGAGAGGCAGATGATCACAGCCAGCTCTATGCCTTGTCCTCATGAAGCCCTTTAGCTGGGCCCATCGTTGCCATGGTGACTTCACACAGGCCCCCAGCCTGGGGAGCTCCTGCCAGACCTAGAGGAGATAGGTTTGTGGGATCACTGAAGCTCTGTCCTCAGGGGCACTTAGGAAGGCAGGGTCTAGGTGCCTGTCTCAGTCTCTTCTGGCTGCTATAACGAAAACACCATAGACTGGTTGGCTTATAAACAACAGACATGTATTTCTTATAGTTCTAGAGACTGGGAAATCTAAGGTCAAGGTGCTGGCAATTACATTTGTTGTCTGATTCATAGATGGCCATCTCACTGTGTCCTCACACAGTGGGAGGGGTGAGGGAGCCCTCTGGGGCCTCTTTTATAAGGGCACTAATCTCATTCACAAGGGCTCCACCCCTGGTGACCTAATCACCTCCCAAAAGCCCCACCTCCTAATATCATCACATTGAGGATTAGGTGTCAACATATTAATTTTCGGGGGAGGCAAACATTGAGTCTATTTCAGCCCCCACCTATTTCCCTGGGAAAGACGCTGCTCTCCTACCCCAACCATTCCCTCCCTGCCTTCCATGGCATCACCTCAAGGGACCTTGGCTTGGCTTCCTTCCCAGATTCAAAAGCCCATTGGGTCATTGTGGTCAGTTCTTTTTCTCCTAAACTGTCCTGTGTGATCAGGAGTGGAAATGGTGTTATCCAGCTGGGTAAGCAAGAAGTCTTCCCCAAAGTCTTGTAGCAGAATCTCAGTCACGCTTTATACATAGAGGTCCGAATCCTGCAGTCGTCCCAATTGTTACAGTTTTAGCAGCAATACACTCAGAGGCAGGGACCCCATGACTGGAAACCCGCGTATGCATTGCCCTCAGCATCTCTTCAGGCCTGCGCCCACAGTGGCTTTATCTGCAATGCCAAAACTCTGACATTTGGCCACTTTTTTACTTTTTAAAAAAATAAATTATGACTTTGCTGGTGGGAGGGAAGGGGGTCGTTTCTCTTAGAGAGAGGACAGATAGATTTTATTTATTAAAGGAAAGGTTGGTGGACTCCAGTCTCTCTCCTTTGAATGATGCCATTTATGTTACAGTCTCTAATTTGGTCCCACTGTGAGGCTTCTACTTTTCAGAGGCAAAGTGTTTCTGGCGCTGCTGCTACAAACTCCCTCTGCATAAAAGCCACGTCTGGTGGAGTCCCAGAATAGAAACCGTCTGTCCTCTTGTGTATAGTCTTGGTTTTAAGTTGATTTCATGTGAGTCTTTCCCTTCTGGGGGAACAAGATTTTACCTACACTCTCACCCCATGAAACAATCAGGGATGTCATGGGGCATCCTGTGGAGATACATATTTGGGTCTTGACTCTCAGAAGCCCCACTTAGTGGGACTGTCTTCTGGGCTTGGCCCTAAATAAACAAACAACCCACTGCATGTCCTCTTCCGGTCTTGAAGAAGCAAACTACTTATTTCACAGCAAGCTCTGGGATGATAGGTCCTATCATGTCAGATATGATGCCTCATAAATCTAATTCTTCCGTCCTAGCTGCAGTTTTAATCTACTCAAATGTACTTAGCTGGGTTTAATTATAGACAGAAATTGCATTCAGAAAGCAACAAGAAATCATTTACATGGCTTGAATTTGCACATTAAATCATATGGTTCATTTGAGAGTGCAATAGGGATGGTATTTCCAAAGAAAAATAATATTAGTGCCTGTGCTTAGGGGCCCTCACACCGATTGCACAAATTGTATGAATTGCACAATTTCTACAGACTGCATTTTTCTTCTTGGCACAGGATAAATGAGGAGGCTGGGGACGCTGAGAGGACCCAGTCGGCACTGAGCAGAGCCTGGTCCGCAGATGTCCGCAGCAAGACCTCAGGAGACAAGCCTGTTTCTCCCCACTTCCTCCGCCGGCAAAAGTACTGTCATTTTGGGGACGGCGAAGGGCTTGCTGTCCAGGGAAAGTCCACAGAGAGATTAGAAGCTGCGTCATCTCCCCTGGCTTCTCGGAGTACAAATACATCCCCGCTGTCGAGGGAAAAGCTGCCCAGTCCTTCAGCGGCCCTCTCGGAGTTCGTGGAAGGGCTCCGGAGGAAGAGAGCCCAGAGAGGCCAGGGGTCCACGCTGGGCCTGGAGGACTGGCCCACTCTCCCCATTTACCAGACGACTGGGGCTTCCACACTAAGGAGGGGCAGGGCTGGCAGTGACGAGGGAAACCTCTCGTTGAGGGTTGGGGCAAAGTCACCCCTGGAAATCGAAGGGGCCGCTGGTGGTCTCTTGAGGTCCACCAGCCTCAAATGCATCTCTTCAGATGGTGTTGGGGGCACGACCCTACTCCCCGAGAAGGCGAAGACCCGATTCAGTTCCTGCGAGTCCCTCTTAGAATCCAGACCGAGCATGGGGAGAAAACTGAGCTCCCCGACCACACCCAGGGACATACTGTTGTCACCCACACTGCGTCCTCGGAGGCGGTGTCTGGAGTCCTCTGTGGACGATGCGGGTTGTCCAGACCTTGGAAAGGAGCCGCTCGTTTTCCAGAACCGCCAGTTCGCCCACCTGATGGAGGAACCCCTAGGCAGTGACCCCTTCAGCTGGAAACTCCCAAGCCTCGACTATGAACGCAAGACCAAAGTGGACTTCGATGACTTCCTCCCAGCTATCCGGAAGCCCCAGACGCCTACATCCTTGGCTGGCAGAGCAGCCAAAGGTGGACAAGACGGTTCACAGCGTTCAAGCGTCCACTTTGAGACGGAAGAGGCTGACCGTTCCTTTCTCTCGGGGATCAAGACCATTTTGAAAAAGAGCCCGGAGCCCAAGGAGGATCTTGCTCACCTGTCCGACTCATCCTCATCCTCCAGCTCCATCGTGTCCTTCAAAAGTGCTGACAGCATCAAAAGTCGACCAGGAATCCAACGACTTGCGGGTGACGGTGGTGAGGGAACGTCCCCCGAGCACAGAGAGCCAGGGGCGGGGAGGAAAGACGACGATGTTACAAGCATAATGAAAAAATATCTCCAGAAGTAGGCACCAGTTCAGGTAAAAGCAATAGGCTGGGGCTGTTCTTGGGGCATGAGAGTTCACCTTGCAGCCTTGGGGAGAGCAGGTGCCCCTACTGTCCTTACTGCCACAACTAATTTCTTTAGAGATCAAGATTTTTAGAGGTTTTAGCTGAAGTCATGTGTTGCTGGATGCAAAGCCTTTCACGAGCCCTCTGCTGGGTACTTCCATTTCCTTGTACTTTGAAATGCAGACACATCAGAAAGTAAGGGGTTCCTGTGGGATGACGCTAAAGAAGGTGCTGGATGTGGCCGGGCGTGGTAGCTCACGCCTATTATCCTAGCACTTTGGGAGCCTGAGGTAGGTAGATCACCTAAGGTCAGGAGTTCGAGACCAGACTGACCAACAGGGTGAAACCTTGTCTCTACTAAAAATACAAAAAATTATCTGGGTGTCTTGGCTGGCACCTGTAATCCGAGCTACTCAGGAGGCTGAGGCAGGAGAATCGCTTGAATTGGGGAGGCGAAGGTTGCAGTGAGCTGAGGGCACCACCACTGCACTCCAGCCTGGGCAACAAGAGTGAAACTCTGTCTCAGGAAAAAAAAAAAGAAGAAGAAGATGCCGGATATTTAAAGTTTCCTCGCCCTACTATCATTTTCTTTTCTTAATGTCATTCCACCTGGGGTTGAAGGAGCTGCGATGGCATTCTGTCCACATAATGACGGGAGATCCGTGGTGGGATCGCAGACATGCAAAGGGCCGAGTTGGAAGAGACCTTCAGAATAGTGGAGTCCACTTGCATTACATATGGAGAGAAATAGGCCCTAGGTTGAGGGGAGAGGGAGCAAGTACAAAACTCACAGAGCAACAATGCAGGAGAAGTAACTACTCGCTGCCCTTCCTCCTGCTCCTAGCACTCATCCTGTCACTCATCTGGAGTCAAGGTAAGAAAAGGAATTCAGGCCGGGCGCGGTGGCTCAGGCCTGTAATCCCAGCACTTTGGGAGGCCGAGGTGGACAGATCACGAGGTCAGGAGATCGAGACCATCCTGGCTAACACGGTGAAACCCCGTCTCCACTAAAAATACAAAAAAATAGCAGGGCATGGTAACAGGTGCCTATAGTCCCAGCTACTGGGGAGGCTGAGGCAGGAGAATGGCATGAACCTGGGAGGCGGAGCTTGCAGTGAGCCGAGATCTTGCCACTGCACTCCAGCCTGGGAGACAGAGCAAGACTCCCTCTCAAAAAAAAAAAAAAAAAAAAAAAAGGAATTCATTGCTAACCAAGGCTTACATTTATTGATTGGACACATCAGACAGTCATTTAGTACTCCTGATATCCCCAAGTGGTGGTGAATATTATTTATTCCCATTTATCAGGTTGACAGACTGAGGATCAGAAAGATTAAAGTCACTTGTAGAGAATCACCAGGGCAGAATTGGGTTTTCCAGCTCTAGAATCCCTACATTTATCTTTAAAAGTTTTCCGTAGGGACACATTCCTGGCATCTTCATGAGTGAAATTAGAGCTGCCTGAGAGTCTATGAGCCTTCGTAAATCTCCCAGTCACTGAATCTCAGAACTCACCGCAGCTCAAGGCTCAGATGGTCCAGCGATTGCATATGGCTCTCAGGGTGCACCTGCTGCAACCCGCAGGCCTCCTTGACCCAAATGAGCCACACATCCTCTATTTCTTCGAGAGGCAGCCTCAGCCCATCAAAAAGCCATTGCCCCTTCCGCGGAGACAGGCTTGGACTATATCAGAGCAAACTAATTTGACTTAACATGGCCTTCTCTCTGCTCTCAATTACCGAGTAAAGATCTGATATTCATTTACATTATTATGCTCTCGGGGACATAGAAAGCAGTTTCAAAGGCCAAGTAAAGGGCACACATCTATGAGGGGAACAGTCCTTAGCAGAAGTCATCACAGAACATCTTGTCTCTGCCATTCCATTTTAATCAAGTCCCCTTCCTACCCTGAGCAAGGTTCTTCTCCAAGGATGCTAGTTTTTCAGCTATACAATGCAGCACCTCCAACAATGCAAATGCATGGGGGGCTTTGGGACCAAACAAGACCCCCCAAGGCTCAGTTCTGCCCTGTAACTAGCCGTCGGACCCTGGGCAAGTGACACAGTCTCTCCAAGCCCCTGTGTCCTCAGTTGGAAAATAGGGATAAGAGTACCAACTACCTAAAGTAACACTGTGGATTTCATGAGAATATGAGAGATTCCTAGAATAGAGCATGGCACCCATGGATGCAGTAAATGCCAGGCTACTTTGAAATTTTTGGACCTTTGGGAAATCTATCCCAACTTTTTCCCCCACTTGTTCTCCTTCTGCTGCCTACACTCTGCCATCCTTTTCTGTGGAGTTGCTACAGTAATGCCACCTGGGTGTACAGAATTCCAGGCCCTCCACCCCATTCATTGTCTCCATCAAAATGTACCCATCTTCCTGGCCAGGCACAGTGGCTTATGCCTGTAATCCCAGTTCTTTGGGAGGCTGAGGCACGAGGATCACTTGAGGCCAGGAGTTTGAGACCAGCCTGGGTAACAGTGAGACCCCACCTCTACAAGAAATAAAAAATAAAAAATTAACTGGGTGTGGTGACATGTACCTGTAATCCTAGCTACTCAGGAGGCTGGAGCAGGAAGATCACTTGAGCCTGGGAGTTGGAGGCTGCAGTGAGCTATGATTGCACCACTGCACACTAACCTGGGTGACAAAGTGAGACCCTGCCTCCAAAAAAAAAAAAAAAGAAAAAGAAAAATCCTTACCCATCTTTTGTCCCATTCATCAACTCTGACCTGTGTTTGCTTCCAGCCTCCTTGAAGCTGCCCTTGAAGACTTCCCGACTCTACAATAACTTGGAGACAGAGAGACTGGCCAGGCCTCCGCAGTGGCCAAAGCCAGCCAGCATGGCCACCCTCAAGAGACAAGACGGGCCCACAAAGGCAAATCCTGCGGGGATGCTGGGCTCCCAGTGTGGTTGGCCTGAACAAAATAAAGTGTTGACTCCTGGGCCTTCTCTATGGCCTTGCTACCTGGATTCCAGAGTGTCAATGGGGTGCAGATAGGGGTAGGACTGTTCCAAAGAATAGAACCAACCCGAACTGTGTGTAGTTTGGGGTATATACTGCTATTTCTCTTCCTACATGTCTACATGCCATGACCTTCTTCCTCTTCTTCACCTGGCCAGTTTCAGCTCACTTCTTCCAGGAAGTCTTCCCTGATATATCAAACAGAAACAAATGCTCCCCCTCCATGCTCCCTTAATCCCCATGCTTGTCTATCATATTCCTTTGCCAATTCATTTCTCTATCCTGTGCATTTATAAGTGTGTACAAGCATTCAAGAAACTGATGAATGATGAATGAATGAATGAGCCAAAGAACAAATAAATGAGCCCACACACCCTGAATGCATGTGACACACTGATATATATGCATCCTACAAATGTGCACCCACATCAACATTCAAGAACCTTGAATTTATTCCCTTTTTACCAAGGCGAAGCTAGCATATGTGTGCCCACATTTAGGTAGCAAATGCTGCCTTTATTTAAATTCCCACTAGCATAGACTCCATATCGTACCCCAAATTTGTCTCCATCCCTAGGACCCCTCTGGTGTAACCAATCATAGCTCCCACCCGTGGGAGGGAATTCCCATTTGGATCACTGCTGTGTTAGTTTGCAAGGGCTGCTGTGACGAAGTACCATAGCTGGAGGGTTGAAGTCCAAATTCAAGGTCAGCGGGGTAAATTCCTTCTGAGAGCTGTGAGGGCCTCTCTCCTTAGCTGGTAGATGGCCATCTTCCCCCTGTGTCTCCTCATTTCATCTTCTGTTCATGTCTGTATCCAAATTTCCCCATTTCATATTGGATGGGGTCCGCCCTAATGACCTTATTTTAACTTGGTCACCCTGTAAAGACCCTACCTTTTAATTAAGTCATTTTATGAAGTGCTGCAGGTTAGAACTTCCACATTTTTTTGAGTGGGGCTGGGGAAGTGGGCACAAAATTCGACCCGTAGTAACTGGTAAGGTCACCCCAAAAAGAGGAGCTCTCATCTCTGATCATCCTCACTAGAGACTCTGGGTAGAAGTGGGACAAGGGAGGAGGATGGGGCAGGAGGGAAATTCACTGGAGCCCCTCTCTGGAGACCTCACCGTTTCTGGAGACCTTCCTGCCTCTCTGATGGAGCACGTTGGTGAACAGTGGACCCTGTTGTCTCTGATGCAGGCTCAGTCTCCCACTTGGTGAATCCACCATCCACCTCTTGCCATTCATAGGAGGGCTCTGGGTCACTGGAGAGTGCTGGGATATATGGGGAAAGCAGCCAGGACCTCTGGCAAAGCCCCGGCAAAGAGGAGGCACCACCCAAAAGCTCGCCAATGCTTAGGTGTGGGGTGGGAATCGAGAAGACCCAGGCTCCTGCATGAGGCTCTCCCCAAGGTTTCTGCAGTGAAATCCATCGAGTCATGGAGTCTCAGCCAAGTCACTTCCCTCGCTGGGTCTCAGTTTTCTCATCTCAGTAATGGGAATAACAGTTACTGAACTCTCATAAAACCCTGGAAAGGGAAGGGAAAGTATAGCATACTGTATTAGTTTGCTAGAGCTGCTGTAACAAAATTCTACAGCCTGGGTGGCCTAAACAACAGAAATTTATTTCCTCATGGTTCTGGAGGCTGGAAGTCTGAAATCAAGGTGTCAGCAGGGGTGGTTTTTCCTAAGGCCTCTGTCCTTGGCTTGTTGATAGTCGCTTTCTTGCTGAGTCTTCACGTGGTCTTTCTTCTATGTGGCTGCACCTCTGGTGTCTCTGTGTCCAAATTTTCTCATAAGAACAGCGGTCATATTGAAACAGGGCCTACCCTTATGGCCTGATTTTAATGACCATGGTTTTTTTTTTTGAGATGGGGTTTCACTCTTGTGGCCCAGGCTGGAGTGCAGTGGTGTGATCTCAGCTCACCACAACCTCCGCCTCCCGGATTCAAGCGATTATCTTGCCTCAGCCTCCTAAGTAGCTGGGATTACAGACATGTGCCACCAGGCCCAGCGAATTTTGCATTTTTTAAGTAGAGACAGGGTTTCTCCATGTTGGTCAGGCTGGTCTTGAACTCCCAACCTCAGGTGACCCACCTTGGCCTCCCAAAGTGCTGGGATTTTAATCACCCTTTTCAAGGTTCTGTCTCCAAACACTGTCACATGCTAAGGTATGGGGGGTTAGAACTTCAACACATGAGATTTAGGGGTTCACAATTCAGCCTGTAACACAATGCAAAAGGAAGTGGCAATTTAATTAATTATTAATTATTATTAATTATTAATCTATTAATATTTTATCATTTATTTATTATTCATACAAAATAATATACATGAATATTTTTCAGACAGAATAATTTATTATTCATACAGGATACATATGTCCCAAGCTCCCAGCTTGGTCTGCAAACAGAGGTAATTCTGGAAGTCAGGAACAGATGATCAACGCCAGGGGCAACGGATTCACATTGCCTTCCTGGCATTGATGTTTCCTGGGCATTTTAGAGCCTGGAACCTTTGAGTTTCCATGCCTTTCTCTTCATGTGCCAGTAATACTTATTCAGTTTGTATTTGCTGAGTACATTCTAAGTGCCTGGCACTGTTCCCCACACCCAAGCTCTAGTGAGCAGGCAGAGTCACCCTGCCTTTCTTCAGGGAATATCTTAGCTGGGGAGACAGACAATAAGCAAGAAAATGAATATACTGTCAGGAGCAAGCTGTACTATGAAGAAAAATAAAGATGAAATTATCTTGTGAGTTCTGTGTTAAAAATTTATAATACGTTTATTTTATGAAGCACATTTTTATAAAAGAAATCAGTCATTATTCTTCAATGATGTGTAAGTGATGCATCCAAAAAGGTTAATTTCAAGTAATAACAGCAAAGTCTTCCTCATTATGCAGCAGCAAACAAATCCTGAAGATGCTCATTAAAAGTCAATTTAACATGCTACAAGTTGACAACCATCCCCATGCCTCTCAAATTCCCCAACCCAACACAGCCTGGAGCAGAAGGCACTTACTCAACTTCATCCTCATTCTTTTCTTTCTTTCTTTTTTTCTCTATTTCTCTATTTCTGTCTTTCTCTCTTTCTTTCTCTCTCTCTCTCTTTCTTTCTTTCTTTTTTTCTTTCTTTCCTTCTTTCTTTCCTTCCTTCCTTCCTTCCTTCCTTCCTTCCTTCCTTCCTTCTTTCCTTCCTTCTTTCCTTCCTTCCTTTCCTTTTCTCTTTCTTTCCCCTTCCTTCCTTCCTTCCCTTCTCCCTCCCTCCCTCCCTCTCTTCCTTCCTCCCTCCCTCCCTTCCTTCCTTCCTTCCCTCCCTCCCTCCCTCCCTTCCTTCCTTCCGTCCTTTTATCTTTTTCTTTTTTTGGGTAGAGTTTTGCTCTTGTCACCCGGGCTGGAGTGAAATGTGTGATCTTGGCTCACTGCAACCTCTGCTCCTGGGTTCAAGCAGTTCTCCTGCCTTAGCTTTCCTAGTAGCTGAAATTACAGGCGCCCACCACAATGCCTGGCTAATTTTTGTATTTTTAGTAGAGACGAGGTTTCACCATGTTGGCTAGGCTTTGAACCTCTTTCCTACAAGATGACTCCAGAAATTCCACAGTGGGCCCTGATGTCACATAGGCAGTGTGCTCACCCCTAGCACCCAGGGTAGTACGTGTCATCCACGTCTATGTGACACTACCACTTCTGCTACGTGGGATATCAACACGGCCTGGCCCCTGGCCTGGGCATTGCCTCTCATGCCTCAGGTCAGAGATTCTCTCTCTGTGTGATCTCACAGATGTCACTGCTTTCTGACCTCTCCTTTACTCATCTGTAAAATAGGTCTAAACTAGTACCAGCTTCCCGGCATCCTTGTAAGGAATCGAGAGCTCATGAATCACTTAGCCTGTTGATTGGCAGATAGCCTGCAGCAAATGGTGGCATCTTTTTTCTTTGGTCTCAGAAGAACTGCTTCCTGATGCCCAAGTCTGTGGCTCCAACCATATGACTATGCCCTGCTATGGCGTCCCTGCTGACATAACCAAAATTCTTTCAAAGGTGAGGATGTTGGTGGTCATGAATCCAGGTGGATTAAATGCTCTCCTGCAAATGTTTCCTCTTGCTTTTATACCCTGAGGCCATCTTTAACAGGGCACCCATGTCTTGAAAGAACTGTAGACCATAAGGACTAGATAAAAGCCTCCAGGTAATTTCACAGGTGGGGAAAATGGGTCTCAGAGAAGAACATGAGTTTTCCAAAGGCGCTTAATAGCAGAGCCGAGTTTAGAACTCAACATTTATTCATTCAACAAAGATCACCTCATGTCCTGAGCACTGTTGCAGGCACAGTAGATAAAGCTGAAAATGGGATAGGCAAAGACCCTGGCTTCGTGAAGCTTATGGTTTACTGGGAAGACAACTAATGTACTTGGAAACACATACATTGGCCATGCCCCTACCACCTGATGTCCCACCAGCAGTCCAGCAGCTACAGGTCATCCTTCTGTGTCTGCATGATGTTTTGCCAAACACCAGGGGTTGGGCCTAGGTCCAGTTGCTCATATCACAGACCACGAGTATTGCCAGGGAAGGAAATCTTTATTATGGAAACAAACAATTATAAAAATACTAATTGTAGTAGCAACAAACCCAAGAGTGTCCAAACCAAAACAGTTAGGGTACCTTCTACTCTCAAGCCAGTCAAGTAGAAGCTTGTCCAACCTGCAACAAATGGAAATTCCTTTGGAATTCCCCCAAATTGAGAGGAGAGAGTCCTGCTGTCAGGGACCTACAGAGGGCACTCACCTATCTGGATGCAGATGTCCAATTTCAAAGCCTGTTCTTCCTAGGCAATCAGGAATGCAGTTGGGGCTGGCAGTGGTGAGGCAGAAGAGAAGGAGACTGAAACCCATCTCTGGCAAATATGGCTGGGAAGCTGCTAGGAGGGCTTCTGAAATGCTCCTGGTCCATGGCCACTGAGCCATAAGCAATGAATTC